TGCCTCTTTCAAATTTTGGCCCCTTGCGATTGTCAAAGACTTCTTGAATCCGACCGAGAATATTTTCATCCATATGTGACGCAATATAGGTTTAAGTTGAGGATCATAACCGGAATGTTGGCGTAGGACCTTTGGTTTCTGATCTCCTAAAACTTGGCCTCTAATAAAGATTCCATTCTCCGTAGTTCTGAAGGAGTTGTAAGTTCAATGATCCTCTGCTCGAACTTCTCACAGCAATCCCGATCCTGTCTATTACGTGGAATATGTTTGGTGAAGTTGGCAATATCACTCGGAAGGTGTTGGAAAATTATGAGGAATTTAGTTTCATTCCTTTTTCATCTGATGATTTCTAATATCAAGTCGCTTAATTCAAACCAAAGATATGGAGTATATCTGTTAAAAGTTGGGAATTTGTTGATTAGCGCGCTTAATGCAAGAATCTGACTACCCCCTTTGGTGGAGTTGATTTGTCTCATTGACTGAAAATACATGCTGAAAAAGCTAGGTCAATAATTTAATATTTCGGCTGAACCTTGCCATTTTTACCACCATACTACAGTTCGCCAAAGAGACAAATGAAGTCTATCCTTTAACCAATTGTCTGTTAGACAATTGTGTCGCTCCTTCTGTCCTGGTCTATTCACATATTCTTTATCCTTAAAACACCTCTTCACTATCACAATTTCATACTTGCTTATTTAAATCCCCACAGAAAGTGATATAGGAAAAGGTCTGGCCTTTCTTGAAGTTCATATCTGCCCTGTGACCCGAAGATACTCGTGACATTTTGGCATAGTGGTTAACACGTCGAGATTATACGCTTCAGTGTCATGGTTCTAATTCTACTTGTGGTGCTAATAAAACCTGGGCAATGTCAAAACTGCAGTTCACTCTGGATGAGAATACCCTTTGGGAGTCAAGGCATGCGAACTTCAATGGAAACACAAGGCCCACTCATATCATTGAGGGAAAATTCAAATATTAATCTTTTATCATCTTAAACGAAACATGATGAACATATCTTATAAGCCTAACTCTTGCAGCATTAATGTCATAAAAGTTATTCTCTATAGCACTTAATTTGATGGAGGCAATAATGATATGGACTATAAACACATCCTTGTTTTTCAACAGTTAGAATTCACCAAAGTCGAGTATGTAAAACTGTAAACCGCTGCAGAACAGTAAGTTTTCTCTAATGCGTAATTACTTGCAGAAAAATGCAGAGTACCATTAGCCTTGAAAGTGTAAGTGTGAATCTTGAATTTTTCATGACATATTACATATTCTTTTTTGATAATATGGAACTATTTCGGTCCCACAAAATCGATAACTAATTTCCGTTTAAGAAAGCTTTGACCTCGATTTATCTGTGAGCTCTCGTTAGGATATTTTTGTTTATTAAATCATACTCCCTAATCTAAATATTTCTTATATTTCATT